TGGACACGGTGGCTCCGTCCTGGGGACAGGAAAGGGAAGCGAGAGGCAACGAGCTCGGCTGGCGCGGGGGAGAGACTGCTGAGCAAACGCCCTTCCTGGGGACAAGGACGGGAAGGCAGGCGGGGAGTGAGGGACGTGGGACTCGGCACCCACGAGCACGTCCCCGGCTTGGTGGGAGCTGCGCTTCCCGTTGGAAGACGGGTCCCAGGACTGCATAGTGTCACTTTGCGCTGGAAAAATCCCTCCAGGGAGAGAGAAAAATGCAATGGGAAGGCTGCCATCGCCTGCCGGGCAGTGATAAAGGGCAGGGGGTGGAAGGGGGCGCCCTGGTCTGGTCAGTAAGAGATCCCCCACAGTCACCACCCTCCCTTTCACAGGTCTGTCGTCTGCTGACACTCGCCAAAGCCTGATACCCAGCTGCAAGGGGTGAAGCCTCCATGCCCTCCCGAGGGGGCAGGTGTGTTGGAGTCACTACGGAGCAACCGCGACGAGGTTTTAGTGTCCAGCCAGGCGAGGCACAGGGAGGGTGACCAGGGCTGGCTCCCAGCCCCAGGGTGAATCATGACAGATGCTGACCCACGGACGCACACCCAAGGAAGAAAGAGCTGGAACAAGTGATGTGGCTCGTACAAGGCAGGGGACACATCAGGATGATCTGAGCACCAAAAAGGGACCATCAGTGAGGCCAAGTGGCACCTGCACAGCAGAGCTGGGCACAAGCAAGCGCAACCATCATACGAGACACCAGAGACAACCCTGCAGAGCAGCCCTGGGCGGAGAAGGATGGATGCAGCACAGAGTGCATGTAGCAAGGCTGAGAGAAGGGTCGGGATCATCCTCCTCAAGCCTGTTGGTGCGGCGGGAGGCACCATTACCAGCACTGGGATAAAAGTGCATCAGGCTGGTGCAATTACACCGTGAGGAGAGAGCGGCTCTGAGCCACCCGAGGGTGCGGGGCTGGGAGCAGGGACGCTTGCGAGCACCCAAACACCCCGAGCACGATGAGCCTCTGCTGACCCCTCTGATCTCTGCAGGGGGGTGAGGAAGGGGTCAACGATGCCGCGGAGCCCCTGGAACCCCTGCGCAGCCATCGCTGACGCTCGCACCCAGGAGTCCATGGGGCAGAGCGCGGGGCTGCGGCACCAGCAGCTCCCATCAGCGATTCACGAGCACGTTAAAGACCTCTCCCAAGGCTGGAGCCTCGTTAAAAGGTGCTCCCGGTCATTAAGAGCCCTGGATAGGAAACCCGATCGGCCCAATCGCTTTGAGCATCGAGCCCCTGCAGACTCACACCCAAGCAGAAAGCCCCGAGCAGCTGCGCAGCACCTTCCCCTCGTTCTGCTCTGCTCCTAAAAGCCTTTTACCGCTTTCCAGTCTCGAGTTTCAGATCCGAGAGAAGCAGCTCGGCACAAAGAGCTCTGGAAGTGAAGATATTATTGGGAAAAAACCAAAGCACACAGACACACCCCCAAAAACGCCTGGTCCTGGGAGCTCAATATCTTAATAGTTTTCTCTCTTCACAGAAAGCCCAGACCTGCGTGTGCCTCAGTCCCTCACGTACCCACTCGCAGGGCACCGACCCCCAAGCCGAGGAGCAGCCAGGCTCAGTCTATTGCTGCCCTCCTCCTGATCTCCTCTTGTGTTTTGCACTTTTTTAGGCTGTTCGTTAAAGGATACAAAACACACTGCAGGAATCCTCCTGTCCCTAAGAGACTTCATGTCCCTGTGCATCCCCATGCCTGGCAGCACAGAGCCCCCCAGCCGACGCACGGCCAGTTCACACCACCACATCACACCGATTTTTTTTCTTTTTTTTTCCTCCCCACACCACAAAGAAGACAACTCCATCCTTTCCCCACATGCCTGCCAACCCTGCTGCACCAGGACCGCTCGGAAAACCCGAAAGAAGCACAGTTTCATGCCAAGTCCTGCAAGACTGTGTTCCAGAGGGTATTTTAAGCTGCCCCCTCCCTCTCCAGCACCGCCGAGAGGAGCTTTAATCCCTCTCCAGCGCGGCTGCTGGGGTAGCAGGTCAAGGAGGGACCAATGGGTGCGGGGATGTCCAGGCCCCTCGCCCACGCTGCCATTAGGAAATCCTCACCCATTTTCTTACGTCGAGCAAGACGTTGGGCAACCGCAGCGGGTTTTGTTCAGCCTGGGCGAGCTTGGAGCTCGCAGCACACCCAGCGAGAAAGCAAAGCCACCCGGGGAGACGGAGCGTGCCGGTGGCGAGGCTGCACCGGACGCCGTCGATAAAGGTGCAGCGGGCACAGCCGTGCCCGTGGGGTGGGGAAGCAGGGGCCAGGGAGGGCTCACACCGTGGCACAAGGCAGTGACGTGCCGGGCTGCCCCGCCGCCAGGGTTCCATCGGC